TTTGCCGTATAGTACTCGAATGCAACATCAGTTTTATAAGATCTTGTACGTCTTTACTCAAATATTTCCCATAAAATTTTGTGCGAAATTACTCAAAGTTATTAACGTGTCTTAAGATAAAAAATCACCAGTCTGACGTGAATCCGTTTAAAGATTGTCCAATCATGTTCTTTCAAATGATGAGGATGAATTTATATACCTCTGATATAATTTTGCAAATCATATATATACTGTGAGGATTGATTATAAGATGACGCGTTGGCTGTGATCAAACAACGTCAGCATATTTAAGGTTTTACGCAATCATCAATTATACTGGAAAGCTTACGTTCATGCTAGTTATCGTTATCAGTATTTCTGACTACTCAAAGTGGTTGAAAAATTTAACAGTGTTTGATGAATAGTGTATTGAGTCCTCGAAAATCTGGTGTGTCTGCAAGCATCTCTTGCCATGAGCAATTCAGTATATAGTCTGTTACTATTCGAAATGAAATTCTGTCTATATGCACCCTCGTGGACAACATATTAAGCAATGAGAGTAGGCTTTTATCAAGTTCACTATTTAGTTAGGTGAATATTGCATGAAAATACTTGGTTTTGAAAAAATAAATACAAAATATTATTAAACAAAAAAATAAATGTTGAACATGCCCAAAAATAAACATTTAACTAACGAAGGGATTTGTTATCACTGTCAACATAAGAAATGTATGGTATTATTAAGGGCATTTAGTATATCATCTAAAATTTCTACTTTACCGACTTTTCTATAGTAATAAATTGTTGTTAATAACTAATTATACAACTATTTAAACCCAAAATGATGAGAACAGCTCCCAAGCTGGTACTTTCAGGATTCAATCAAGCCCAAATTCCATGGAACCCGTTGCGAATTGAGAGAAAAAAGTTACATTTCAGATTGTGCACACTGACCCACTCTTTTATGATCACGAAATGTAACTTTTTTCTCTAAGTTCGCAACAAGTTGTATTTAATTTAGGCTTGATTGTTTCTGCAAAGCACTAGCTTAGGGGCGCTTCTCATCATTTTTGGTTTAAATTGGTAAATAATTAGTTATTAACAATAGTTTCTTATTATAGGGAAGTAAATAAGGTAGAAATTTTAGATAATATACGGAATGCCCTTAAATAGTGTTGTCTTTTATAGCTAAAGTAATTAAAAATATGGATTTAAAATTAGAGTAATTAAACAAGACTATTTAAAAGTTCTTACAGCCCTTATAATCAAAGTGAGTAACAATGTTATAGAATACATTTTTTAATCTCTGAAAGCAATTTCAATGCAGTCAATCAATGCCCAAACGTTTTTAAACATTTTAAAACACGATGGTATGTTCTGTAAGAAGGTTCTGACAAAAAATAAAAAATGTAAGGCAGCAATACTGAACAAAATTATCTTATTTTCAAGAACATTTTATGTGCACATGGATTTTATTAATATTGTCACCAGACAGGTTTTCGAGAAAGAAATCATTTTATTTTATAATAAGCATAGACTCTCATGGTGATCATTAGTTTAATCTTATTAAATTTAACTGTTTTAAAGGTACTTTTGAGGATTTTGTTAATTCGCTTATTCTTTTTTAATAAGCTTACTTTTAACTTGAAGATATTGATGAATTACTTTTTTAAAGTTTTGATTTTCTTAAATGGTAGCTTAAATACAATATTTCTGACCGCTATAAGAGCCTACATTTAATAGTTAAATTAAATTAGTTTATTTTTCAAAATATGTTTGGAAAAAATATTCAAAAAGTATACATGCTTATGAAAAGAACCTAGTATGTTACGTACATTTAATAATTATTCGGAGTATTGACATATTCTTTTCTGTAACAAAATATTTACCTTATTTAAATATAACAGCAATTGTAATTTATTTTTAGAATAATGTTTAAACCCTTAGCAATACCTTTACTTGTGTTAAAACACCACCCGTAAGCACATAAATTAAGTAAATATGTTAATATGATAAAAGTAGATGATTTTTGTAATTACCTTGTTTATTTTCCATTAATATTTAAAATGTAGTATTTTAAATGTTTTCGATGTTACTTTATATTTAACTAGTGAGTAATTTGTTCTTGGTGCATTTATCTTTTTCTTTATTTTTATAATCATCCAAGTATCTAAAATTCGAATTAGTTACATGTATTTTCATGACATGATGAAATTTAATGTGTACTTTAAAGTTATACATTATTATTAAATAACAGATACCCTAAGAGCTTTGCTCTATGAAAATGCCTCATGGTTTTGATACACCTAAAAGAGCCCTAATAAATAACGGAGACAATATTTTTTTTGTTCTATTTTAAAATGCAAGATAACTTTTTTGATCCCCCGTGCGTGGGGGTTCGATTAAGAGACGACTGTTGTGGCTTTGCAAAAAACTCGACGTACACAAGCACTTTCTTAAGTCAGTAGCAATCTTTTTCCACGCCATTGCGTCAAAAATTTGTATATACTACACGTGCGACAGGTTATGCAACTGAAAGACGCGTGTCTTCACACACTCGCTGGTTCTCGTGGGCAAACTGACTATTCCACGTGTGTCCATCGCATTTCCCTTGGACTAGAATCAAAATATACTATTATATTATCATTCACACATGTTAAATAAAATTTTATGTTGATCAATCCCTTTTCCTTCTCAAGAAATACCTACTATCTTTTATTGCACCCTTTGCTGTATACGTGTTAAAAAATAATTATTTGATTACACATTACACATCATAAAAAATTTTTTTTATTATATTACTTACCTTGACTAAAAAAGTTGTTAACGTAGGCCATTTTTAATAAAATATTTAAATAATAAGAAATTATTGAGCTTGAGTAGATCAGTGGTCAATAGACAAGCCTCCATGTTAAAGAAACTTGAGGTGTCGTGGGTTTAAAAAATATTCCGATGCTTTTCGACCTTTCTTTGTTGGATGAGTAATAGCTGAGGGTAAGAGATGTTTTGGTTTCTTCAATAAAAGAATTAGGAAGCAATCATTTCGATAAAAATACTAATGTACAGTTTGCTGAAAAATACCTAGAAGAGATAATTGAGACAAGCGTCATTACTACTACGACTGACTCAGAGCACTTATCAAATCAATTACTACAGAAACTATTAGAAAAAAAAACTAACCCGAATAACAAAACTTAGAAAAACAGCCGTAGAATTTACGACTAAAAAATTTGATGGGAAAAATTCGAACGTTGATCAATGGATAACTTCATTCAAGAAAGAGTGTAAACGACTTAAGATTATTACAAGTGAGAAAAATAGACGTTTTAAGGTCATAGATATGTTAAATAGATTGGTTGGCACTTTTACATTGCTCGGGCTTACAGTCAAATTAGAATGGGAAAATTGCGAGGAGAATTTTTGTAACACATTTGTTAGTAAAGGCTAGGCCCCAATAAAATATGCAATGTAGTTGAAAAGAAACAGGTTCATTACTTGAATACTTTAAAAAAAAAAAAGAATCTTTTACTGCAAGTAGTTAAAATCATTGACAGTAGAATATTTATATACCAAAAAGCTACAGGCCTGCCAAATTATGTACCTGATAAAACAGATAGAGAAAAACCAGTAAAAAGAAAATCATATGGATGGAGGAGAACTGGAACATTTATTGAGAAAAAATAATAGGTTGTGAAGAAGTGTTGCAAGTGTTTCATGTTATTCTTGGAATAAGAACTTTGTGTTTAGTTTGTTCTCCAGTTATTTGTATATCATTATTATTAACGACTTATTTGAAATATATCAGCACCCTCCAATGAATTTATGTATTAAAAGTTATTAGTGATCCTTTGGGGGCGAGATATAACAAATAAATAAATACAATGTGTATTCATGTCTTCTTAAGCTGGTTTATTGTTGCAACGTTTCGCTGACCATTTATATCAGCTTTACCTTGCTACAATTTTGAAACACAATAAGACATTTCATAAAACACATACACAAAACAATAAGGTTTTTGAGATAAAAATTATATATCTGAGCCAAGATCGTTCCTTTACTCGACACAATTTGGATTATAATGAATGCACACTGAGCGTGCATACCAATAATCTTAATGAAGTTAGCATCAAAGCTGTTCGAAAGACGTCCAGATACTTACAAGTTTTCAAGGATATAGTCATACAGTTAACCAAAAATTAATTAAAAAAATTTACAGCTATTCTGATGCCAGATAAAATCAATAAAAAATCAATCAATGACTAAATATTTTGACACAAAACCGCTGTTTACTGAGAACTATTATATTACATTTGTTCAGAGTAACTATGACTTAACTAACTTTAATTAAGTTACTTTAAAGAACTGATATTTCTGAAGGGCGTACTAAAATGTAATTAAAAGTCAATGTACTACCATACTATGTAACGTGTACTGCTATGTACAATCGCTGTTGTTATGTAAAATATAGTATAAGGCGTATTGGTTATGCAAGTGCATTTTTAATGTTATTTTATTATACAATATAAAACGTTTAACATGTGCTCTGTAATAATTTGTTTTTTCCTTAATCACTAACTTTTGTCAGTTATCACCATGTTTAGAATCTAAGAAAGAAATACGTTTTCTATGTAAAAAAATTTTGTAATAAGATTTTTTCATAATTTAACTAGTTGTTAATTCTTTGAAATTAAATAAATGATCTTAGATAGTACACTTTTTACCTTGTATTCATAAATACTGCTTTATCTCTTTACTCCTAACTGCAGGTAGCATACAAAATATTGTTTTTTAACAGTGTACATCGTCTCTCTCATAAAAAATAAGAAATACCAAAATTGTCACAACAAAGCCTTAAAAAAAGGATTTAAATACTAGACAAAAGTCTTATAGTTAGTTTTACTTAAATTGCATAACTTTTTTTATCCAAGGACTCTTATTATTTCATAAAATCAACTAAAAGCATATTTATTGTACAGTATCATGTATGTTTTTTTAGAAACAATAACGTGCTCAATCTAAATTTCAGATGATGAAGTCCGCCAAGCAGAAGAAAAATTTGCTGAAAGTCTTCACCTTGCACAAATGGGAATGTTTAATTTATTAGAAAACGATGTAAGTCCAACCGTGCATAATACTATTGAAAACTAGTCTGCATTGAAGTAGCAGTACCATTTTTTGTTCTTTGTAATAAAATTTTGATAATGAAAAAATCATTTTAGATTGAACAAGTAGCTCAACTAGCAACATTTAGTGAAGCCTTATTAGACTATCATCAGCAGTCTACAGAAATTCTTAAGGAACTTTGTGATAAGTTGATCGAAAAGTACGTAATCACAAGTATTTTACATATCATCTATCTATAGACATAATAAATTGATGTTATTATATTAAGAAACGGTTACATTTACGATTATAGTGTCAAAGATTATAGAGGCCGGTAAAATTGTGGCAACAAGATAATTAGAATAATACCGCTGCAAGAAGTTTAAAAAAATTTTTTTTATATTGGGTACTTAAAAAAGTAGAGGCATAATAAGGCATTTTCCAATATTCTAATTAGGTACAATTTCTGTTGCACTTTAAAAAAAAATTGTCTTTAAATAGAAAATCGTTAGTAAGTTCCTTAATGATTTTTATTACTTAAAAATACTATTTGTTAATAATATGAAATTGCCTCACTTAATGTGTATCTACTTGTATACATATATATTATTGAATCAGTCCGATCTTCAGACATTTCCATTTAAATAAAATTTAACTCATCTGTCTTTTTTTTTTTAATGGTTAATGTAATGAAAAAAATCTGCATTTGGTTTTTTGGAATTTTTTATCTACTCTTAGGAACTTCATAAAACAAGTTTTTCCAATGATCTTTAAAACATAGAATCGTTTTCTTACAGGTGTACGTAATATTGTATACACACCAAAAGAGCAGATTTTTTTTTCGCACTCAAACTTTTTTTTTATTGTTCTAGTCAAATGCATCAACTGTTGTCTGTCGAAGGGTCCTTTTATTGTATAGCCACTTTTTAACAGCAGATCTTATGTTATTCATTTCGGATCCTATTAAATTCACATAATGTCAATTCCACAAATATTTAACTTCGTAGTCAGTTTAGCTGATTAGCTGGGCTTATCATAACTTTTTAGTATTTAAAATTATCTTACAAGATTTCGTTTTGAGAGACAGTAACTATGCGATTAAAGATGGTATCGTTTATGTCTGGCAGTGCATATCATACTACTACTCCCCATCCTTTTCTAACGATCCACTAGATTTTCAACCATTAATAATTATTTTCTCGCAAGCGCCCGAGTTTTATGTTGGTTACTGTATAAGGGCGTTTCAGATGAGCTCGGATATCCCCACTGATATAGGTATCTAAGGCAGAGAGCACGTCATTAGCCTCACTGATAAGTTCTGGCGTGTTCTTGGGACGAAATACTGAGTAATATTTTCTCTTTCTTTGTGGCATCACTAGATTGCCATACAGACTGTACAAGCAGTGTCATCTATCGAACAACGCTTAATCTACATAGTTTGAGATGTCTTCTATCGTCTACAATTGGTTCAATGACGATCACTTTACTAAACACTGTCAGCTGCTTTATATTGGCACGCATGTTTAGACCGCTTGTAGATGTTGTAAAAATGGAACAGCGTGGTGCGATCAAATTTTGTTATAAACTTAGTAAGACGGCTAAAGAAACCTTCGAAATGTTAAAAATTGCGTACGGGGATGACTGCTTGAGCAGAAGTAAGATATTTGAGTCTTTGAATACTCAAGGTTTGAAAGTGGACGTAAATCCTTGGAAGATGATTCTCATAGCAGCTGACCCTCAACAAGTCGTACCAAAGAAAACATTCCTCGTGTACGAGGTGTCCTGGAAAAACATCGAAGAATTAGTGTAAATGACATTGAATACAAGTTAGATATTTCCATTGGAAGTGTGCACTCGATATTGACCAAAGATTAAGGCATGTAAAAGGTGTGCGCTAAATTCATTCCACATTCGTTAACGTTTGAATATGGCTAATATGGATGCAAATGCAAATTTTCTTTTGAGTATCATTACTGATGATAATACGTGGTGCTTTCAATATGAATCGACGACCAAGTAACAGTCCGCTGAATGGTGGTAACCTAAGGAAGAACGTCCAACAAATGAACGTGCCACTATACTTCTTTTCCTTAGGAATACAGATGCTGATGTATTTTAAAAATACTTTTATTTTAAAAAAGATTTGCAGTGATCAGGACTCTAACGGTTGTCCTTTCGATTCCAAATCAGGCTCTGTAACCACTAGACCACGGTATGTTATGTCTGCTCTAGTATGGATAAAGTACATGTGAGAACGTGTACAGTTTGATACACACAAAAAAAGTAAAAATCAAAGGGTTCCCTGAAGACCACGGTGTTATCAACCGACAGGTAATAAATTCAAAATTAATTGTCTGCACGTACTGATTTTTAACGATTATAAATGTGTTCATATTTTCCAAGATAATTACATTAGTATAACCTAAAATTTTAAACTCCGTTCGGCGTGTATACCTATAGACATCGTACGAAATTACTTTTAAGCATAGTTATTTTTATTAGACTGAATAGCAATGCAGTGGAATAAGAGATTTTACTATATCACACATCAAACTTTACTTTAGAATCCAAGACATTTTTTAATGATTAAAACAAACTTACTCTACTGTATAGCAAAAATTACACTCTCACAATTTCTACCATGTTAGACATAGTATTTTTTTTTACTACGTTGTGGTATAATTTTTGTAGGGCTGCTACATAGTAAGTATAGTAATAGTTATAGTAATAATAATAATAATAATAATAATAATTACCCAGAAGAAGCTGGAGCTAGCAGCCGAATCGCTTAAAAATGGGAAAGCTCCCGGACCTGATGGTATACCGGCAGAAGTCATTAAGACAGTGGTGGCAAAACACCCACTGCAGCTTTTAAACTTATACAATGCATGTTTGCGGAAGAGGTTGTTTCCAACCCCCTGGAAAAACGCACGGCTGGTACTGATTGATAAAGGTAAGGGGGAGCCTAACTCCCTGTCATCACTCAGGCCGTTATACATGCTGGACACGTCTGGAAAGTTATAGGAAAAGCTACTTAAGACCCGTCTTCTACAGGCCATACAAAACGTGGGAGACTTATCTGACAGGCAGTACGGATTCAGAAAAGGAAGGTCTACCATAGGGGCAGTAGAAAAAAAGTAAAAGCAGTTCAGAACACTCGAGACATATGCCATGAAGCGAGACACCTCGTTCTTCTGGTGACCTTGGATGTGAAGAACGCTTTTAACTCAGCAAGATGGAAGGACATGCTTCACGCTCTGAAATACACGTTCAGAACACCAGACTATCTCTTGGGAGTATTGAGAGATTATCTCAAGGACCACTTCTTGATCTATATGACAACAATAGGCGAAACAAAGAAGAAAATAACTGCAGGGGCATTCCAGGGTTCCATACTTGGACCCGATCTCTGGAACGTATCATACGACGAACTACTCTGGCAGGAAATGCCAGAGGAGACGTTCTTGGTAGGATACGCGGATGATGCTGCTGTAGTGATCGTCGAACGCACGATGGAACTTATCCAGATACGATTTAACCAGGTTATGCGGAGAGTGGCTCCATGGATGGAGAACCATGGACTCGAAGTTGCAGCAGGGAAGACGGAGATGGTACTATTGACGAGAAAAGAGATAGATCCCATCATCCCCCTTAAGGTACAAGAAGAAGAAGTTATGACGAAGGATGCCGTAAAATACCTAGGGGTGACGCTGGACAGAAAGCTCACGTTTTGATGCCACCTTAGGCAAGCAGTGGATAGAGAGGCGACAAGAGTAGCGGCATTAAGCCGAATCATGACGAACGTTAGAGGTCCAAAGCCTGCAAAACGCTGGCTCCTTATGTTTACGGCCCAGTCTATTATTTTGTACGGGGTCGAGATATGGGGAGATGAGATGAACGTCGAAAAAAAGAGAGTGAAAATCGGCCAAGTTCAAAGAATGGGAGCCTTGAGGATAGCCTGCGCCTATCGTACAGTCTCAGAGTCTGCCATAATGGTGGTAGCGGACGTAATCCCCATTGACCTCCTTGCGAGGGAAAGACGATTGAAGCATTTTATGGAGCAGGACCTTGGAAGAATGGAGGCCCGGAAAATCACCTGGGAACGCTAGCAACATAGATGGCAAGAGGAATTTAGAGGTAGATGGACGGCACGCCTGATAAAAGATGTCAAAGAATGGACAGAGCAGAAACATGGGGAAGTAAATTACTACCTTACCCAAATTCTCTCAAATCACGGGTATTTCCGCTCGTACCTCAAGAAGGTATTTTTCACGAAGTATGGTGTGTCGTAATCAATTTGTGCTTTATGCACACTACTACTTTCTTCTAAAATAAAGTCTAAAAATTCCTGTGTTACGATAGGCATATTATCTGATATTTCACTGAAGGTGTGTAAATGACAATTGACACAACTCGTCGTAAAATTCAAGAATTGCTTGGACCCGTAAATCTTGATATCTTGCAAGTTACTGTCAAGAGTCATAAAGTATTTTTTAATGTCGGAAAAATCAATCTAAACTTGCTCCAACTAGAAACTGTGAAAAAAATCCCTTCGAAATTTACGCCTAATAGACGAACCATGGATTCCTAACCATTTTCCAGCGAGTTTTCGTATTCAAGCCCAACGATTATTTTTTTACCAAATGGTTTGTTCAATCTGTGAAGTTGCAAATAATCCAAGGTAGGGATGACTGTTCATGCTGCTTTGAGGCGGACAAATCTAAAGCTTTTCTCTCCAAGACTCTCTTTTTTACAGGCTTCATTTTCTCCTTATTACAATGTATTAACTGTTGGATGATCAATCAGAGACTGATAGCTGCTTTTTGTTGATGCACACATGTATGCTACTCATTATTCGAGATAGTGGAGCAATTAAAGACGCTTGGAGGTAGGAAATCACGTTTAAGATTGTCGACACTACAACACCAAACATTTTGTATGGTATCACTTGAAAAACAACTATGAACGCTAAAGTAAAATAATGCTGACTGTGACTTTTTTTCGAAACATTTAGAGGTAGGTTTATAAAATGCTGACACTTTTATATCTTAGATCTTATAATAGTCCGTAGCTACATTTGTTGGAATGCACAGACTACAAATTATAAGCACAAAATTACAATGATGTATAACAAACACATAGAGTTAATTTTCATACAAAGGACATTTTACTACATCTACTTTGTAAGCATTTGATTGGATATCCCCTGATACCCATAAA